AAAAAGGCAAGAGTGTTGATTTATAACCCAGTTTTTCTCCAGGAGGGGTGAGTAGACTGTGTGAGATTATCAACCATTTAGCATAATTAGCTTAGTTACAGACTACTGTTAGCCTCCATTTCACTAGCATTTAATGAATTAAGGAAAAAAAATTAGCAACATATTCATATATTTAACTTGTTCCCTGTGCCTTTTACTACTTAACAACAGATGAGTCAACCATTCTTTTTATTCACTCATAAAGACCTGCTTAATTCTTGTCTTCATCCCAATATTTCATAACATTGGAGAAAATATAATGCTTGATGCTTGTTTTTGCAGTTTTATGTTTGCATCATTTAAAATATCTTGCCTTACCTTGCCCTGTCCTGCCTTGTTCTGTCTTTTCTTGTCTATTCAGTAAACATAAAAACCAGCAGTCAATCTGGGTGGAGTGATGAACTCTTACCTGAACCTTCAGAGTCACATAAAGACAGTTACAAAGTCGACCTATCATCTGAAGAACATCTGCAGGATCATAGGACTAATGTCTCAGCGAGATCTAAACTCATCCATGTGTTTATCTTCAGTTGCATTAATTACTGCAACAGCGTTTTCACAGGTCTGCCTAAAAAAAATCAATTCTCCAGCTGCAGCTGATCCACACTGCTGCTCGAGTTCTCACTAAAACCAGGAAGATCACATCACTCCCTACAGCTCAGAGAATAGACTTTAAAATACTGTTCATTTATAAATCACTGAACGGTTTATCATCACAATACATTAAAAATCTGCTGCTGTTGTATCAACCTTCCAGAAGTCTTAGGTCTTTTGGTTCTGGTCTGCTCTGCATCCCCAGAACCAAACATTGAGAAGCAGCATTCAGCCTCTATGCACCACAAATCTGGAACAAACTTTTGGAAAACTGGAAAACTGCCAACACATTGAGTTCCTTTAAATCTAGACTAAAAATCTACCTGTGTAGACTTGCTTTTGAAACACAGTCATGAAACAATCAATAATCTGATTTGTAATGATGACAAAATCTAATATTGTTGACTCTGTGTTCTATGACTGTATTTTTGTGTTTTTATGATCTAAAGCACTTTGAAATACCTTGAACTGAAAGGTGCTATACAAATAAAATGTGATTTGAAATTTGGTAGTCAATCTGTGCTTAATTTAATGTGAGTATAAATGCAGTTCTGTGAAGATCTTAAAATTGCAAACCCCTCAAATGAACCAACATGTTGCAAAAGTTCTGCAAAATTAAGAGGCCTAAAGTTATCTGCATCAACTCTACCTGCTGTAGGAGACTGGGGCCTTTGATTTCAATATTCACTCTGTAACTCGTAACAAAAACGATCTGTGAACTGAAAGAAAGTATCGTACCTCTCCATAGTGCCTCTCCTCAGATGGGTAGCTGATATAAGGAGAGTAGGAAAGCATGTCAGGCCTGTCGATGTTATAGATAGCCTTTGTCTTTGGAAGTGCTGCCAGGTCCTTATAGTCCAGCATCTCCTCTCCTAGTTTGGCCTAGCAACCAGAAAACAAGGAGAATGTTAGGTATTTTGTAGTATTATCAACTATTTGTTATACTTTTATAACAAATAGGGTTAGGGGTTAGGGTAACCCCCTATTTGTTTTAGTCATATCTTTTAAGAAATGTTTCTGTATTGTTAATCACTCTGATTTCCTTTCTCAGAGGGCCTCTCTGAAGAAGAGCAGAGACAGCAGCTCTTCACAGAACGCCCTGCTTTAAGCTGTAAAGATAGCTATAAAACCATCGCCGTGAAGATTCACAACTTGTCCTGTTTGATCCTGGGTCAGGAACTAGATAAGCTAGTGTGAGATAGATTGTGTTGTTAGTTAGTGATAATCTTGGCGCTGTGACTGTGTGATGAAGTGTCTTTCCCCCTCCCTTTAGAGTTACAGCGCTCTCTGTGATTAGGGATCCTAAAGACAATAAAAAGAGAGGGGCAGGCAAATGTGCTTTCAGAGCGGTAGGAGATTTGTAATTGAAAGCACATCTCTGTCTGTTCTCCTCGCGAGTATTCAGAATCTAACTTTCTCTTGTCTTTCCTGTGTTATTTGCTGTGTTTAATAGGTGTCAACTCTGACAGAGAATGTCTTTAACCAGTTCTTTGTTCAAACAACACAAAGATAACTTTTTAGAACATATTAAAGCTACAGCACAGTGAGCGGTCTTACATAGATGACTCTGCTGGGCGAGCCAGAGGCACTGGATGCAGGAACTGAAGTGATGCTCTCAGAGGAAGTCCGGGTTACCTGAAACACACACACTCGCTGTTTAAACCCACTGCAGGCTGAACAGCTAAGAAAAATAGCACATTCAGACACTCAGTGGAATCACTGTCAACAATGGCTTAATTAAGGGTTTGAAAGCGCAACGTCATCTGGACATCAGTTCAGTTTTAGTTTCAGTGTTTTAGTGTACTGCTTCCTGAGGGATACATTAGCAAAAAGGGAAACACACAAGTAGAGCTCGATTGTCTTCTTCTGCTGGGTATACCACTAGGAGGCGCCTGCGGACCACAGTCTGAGAAAGAATGGTGTAGGTAGACACACCCTTGGAACGGAACAGTCCAGTCTATTCTGCTTTTCCATCAGGCTGTCAATTTTCAAAAGCACAGTGCACATGGACCTCACACCAGTGTAAAAAACTCATGGGGTCTAAACGACACTGTCTCTTAAGACCACTGGAGGGTTAAAACTATTTCTTTGAAAAATAACTGCAATGTTTAATAATTTTTAAAGTTAAGAATCAAACTTTCATCTTAAATCTGCAGCTGTTGCTAGGTCAAAAGTTTAAAAAGAGTGAGGCTAATTTCCGTTTTCATTTATCATTTTGGTCCAAACTATGAAAATCCTGACAGTGAACCTCTGAGTCCATGAGACCCACTAATTGAAACACATGTTCTGTCTGAGCTTCCACACAAAAAATAGGAAAATCAGGAGTTATAACACTGTTTTCTAATAAAGTTGCCAAGCTCCAGCTCACTGATAACTTGTTGGTAGGTCACCATCTTTCTTGCAGCAACGCAGAGTGTGATGCTCTGCGTTGCATCACACCGCAGAGCATCACTGCTCTGCGGTGTGATGCAATTGGGAGACGTTGTAGCCTGAAGACACCGCCCCTCCTCATCATCATAAAGAAGCAGAAATGAATAAGGAAAATGGGAAAATGATAAATTAATAAGGAACCAGACCAAGCGCAGCCCGAAGACCCTTTATGGTGATCAATAACAATGGATCTCGTGTTCCTTCGCCCGGACGCGGGTCACGGGACCCCACTCTGGAGCCAGGCCTAGAGGTGGGGCAAGATGGAGAGCGCCTGGTGGCTGGGCTTTTACCCATGGAGCCAGGCCGGGCTCAGCCCAAAGAGGAAACATAGGTCTCCCTTCCAATGGGCTCACCACCTGTGGGAAGGGCCAAAGGGGTCAGGTGCAGTGTGGGGTGGGTGGTGGCCGACGGAGGGGGGCCTGGCGGTCCAATCCTTGGCTGCAGAAGCTGGATCTTGGGACGTGGAATGTCACCTCTCTGGTGGGGAAGGAGCCAGAGCTAGTGTGCGCGGCTGAGAGGTTCCGGCTAGAAATAGTCGGTCTCACCTCGACACATGGCTCTGGTTCTGGAACCAGTCTCCTTGAGAGGGGCTGGATACACTTCCACTCTGGAGTTGCCCAAGGTGAGAGGCGCCGGGCAGGAGTGGGCATCAGGCGCCGAGATGGGGATGTTGCCCCCCATCTCGGCGCCTGTAAGTTGGAGTTTACCCTGGTGTACGAGAGGGAGGCCTCCCTCCGCCTACGGGTGGGGGGATGGGTTCTGACTGTTGTTTGTGCTTATGGGCCAAACAGTTCAGATTATCCACCCTTCATGGAGTCCTTGGAGGGGGTACTGGAGAGTGCTCCCTTATTCTACTCGGGGACTTCATAGCTCATGTGGGCAATGACAGTGAGACCTGGAGGGGCGTGGTTGGGAGGAACAGCTCCCCGATCTGAACTCGAGTGGTGTTCTGTTGTTGAACTTCTGTTGCTCATCACGGATTGTCCATAACGAACACCATGTTCAAGCATAAGGGTGTCCATATGTGCACTTGGCACCAGGACACCCAAGGCTGCAGTTCGATGATCGACTTTGTCATCGTTTCATTGGATCTGCAGCCGTATGTCTTGGACACTAGGGTGAAGAGAGATGCGGAGCTGTCCACTGACCACTACCTGGTGGTGAGTTGGCTCCGGTGGTGGGGGAGGAAGCTGGTCAGACCTGGCAGGCCCAAACGTGTTGTGAGGGTCTGCTGGGAACGTCTGGCAGAGTCTCCTGTGAAATGGAGCTTTAACTCCCTTCTCCGGTAGGACTTTGAACACCTCCCGGGGGAGTTGGAGGACATTGAGTCTGAGTGGACCATGTCCCATGCCTTCATTGTCGAGGCGGCTTATCGGAGCTGTGTGACCACAAGGTTGTTGGTGCCTGTTTCGGCGGCAACCCTCAAAGCCGTTGGTGGACACCTTTGATGAGGGATGTTGTCAGGCTGAAGAAGGAGTCCTAACACATTTTGGCCTGTGGCCTGGTCCCACAGACCAAAAAGTCCTGTGGAACTCCAGAAGCAGCTGATGGGTACCGACGGTCAAAGCGGCATGTGGCTCGGGTGGTTGCTGAGGCAAAAACTCGGAGAGTTTGGAGAGGCCATGTTGAAAGACTTCCGCACGGCTTCGAGGCAATTCTGGTCCACCATCCAGCGTCTCAGGAGGGGGAAGCAATGCAGCACCAACGTTGCTTATAGTGGGGATGGTGTGCTGCTGAGCTCAACTCAGGATGTTGTGGGTCGGTGGGCAGAGTACTTCGAAGACCTCTTCAATCCCACCTACATGCCTTCCATTGAGGCAGCGGAGCCTGGGGACTCTGGGTCGAGCTGTTCAATCTCTGGAGACGAGGTCACTGAGGTGGTTAAAAAGTTCCTCGGTGGCAGGTCATCCTGGGTTACTTAAGGCTCTGGATGTTGCAGGGTTGTGTTGGTTGACGCGACTCTGCAATATTGCATGGACATCGGGGGCAGTTTTCCTGGATTGGCAGACTGGGGTGGTGGTCCCCCTGTTCAAAAAGGGGGACCAGAGGGTGTGCTCCAATTATAGGGGGGTCACACTCTTAAGCCTCCCTGGTAAGGTCTATTCAGGGGTCCTGGAGAGGAGGGTGAGTCGGTTAGTCCAATCTCGGATTCAGGAAGAGCAGTGTGGTTTTCGTCCTGGTCATGGAACACTGGACCAGCTCTACACTCAGCAGGGTCCTGGAGGGTGCATGGGAGTTCGCCCAACCAGACTACATGTGTTTTGTGGACTTGGAGAAGGTGTTCAACCGTGTCCCTCAGGGAGCCTTGTGGGGGGGGTTCTCTGGGAGTATGGGGTACTGGGCCCTTTGATACGGGGTGTCAGGTTCCTGTATGACTGGTGTCAGACTCTGGTTCACATTGCTGGCAGTAAGTCGGGCTTGTTTCCGGTGAGAGTTGGACTCAGCCAAGGCTGCCCTTTGTCATCGATTCTGTTCATTACTTTCATGGACAGAATTTCTTGGCGCAGCCAAGAGTCGCGTCAAACAGCAGTCTGTCTACTGTTTGAATTGACCAGTGAAATGGTCAGTTCAAACAGCACTGACTGAAATAATCAGTGGCCGTGCACAGACATCATTTTCACTCTGCTCACATCTGCGAGCTGTTGACTGAAGCAGGAATCACTGGAAGTTGGACACTAATAGTTAATGGCAGAAAGGTCAACCAAGCAGTTTCAAACAGTTAGAACCAACCCATGCAGCTAATGACTGTGGCATACTGTGGCAGGAGGGAGGAAGTGGGTCGTTTGGAGATGGGCTTGCAAGGACAAGCGCACCCACCTGTTTATTAGGGGCTTCATTGAGCTGTATCCGGACCTGCTTCTGAGAAGGAGAGGTCATAAGGAATATAGAAAAGAGATGGATCACAGGGTGGACTACTAAAGTCACATGGTTTTGCTGATAATATGACACTATTTCAACAGCAATTGGATATTTCTACAAAATAAAACAAATATGGAACAATTTTGCACATCAGTTGTGATTGCTTTCCCCAAAATTAACTGAATAAATAATTTATTTAATTAACACTTATAACTTGAGGGATTTTCTAGAGAGTTATACAAGGGAGGACCATTGTCCCTACATGTCTCAGGAAATTTTATGTTTTTGATTGTTGATTCAATGTTGCATGACTCTGTGTTTTTGTGTTTAATGATGTAAAGCACTTTGAAATGCCTTGCTGCTGAAATGTGCTATACAAATAAAATTTGATTGATTGATTGATAAGATCAACTGATTACACGTCAACAGTTTTGTGCCAATATTTGTTTGCATTTTACTGGAGAAATCCCATTCTGATTATGTGTTTCTCAGCTCAGAGTCCCAGTCAATGCCTTTTTAAAGGATATTTATCAGAGTCACTGACCAAATCAACTACTCATGCCTTTAGACGATAAACACTTACAGTTTGTAATTTTTACCCTCAGTAAGTTGTGCTAAGACTATGATGGAGTATTAGGGTCATTGTAGATGAAAGAAACAAAATGGCCACCAAGGAGTCAAAAAACTCAGACCTTTGAAAATAATTTGCAACAAAAATCTTCTAAGATTGAGGTGGTAGAATCAGGGGATATGCTTCTGGATATATTTCAAATTGCAAGATGTAGATCTGGGCTAATTTTTTTCACCAGAACATCTCCTGAGTGCAGATCTGATACAATCACGTTGCAGCTTCTTCCTCTCTGTCTCGGGTATGTATTCTGGATCCCATTCCACGGCAAGTCTGCACCTGAGAGGTGTTGTTATGATATCAGAAAATACCGAGTCTTCAACTTACACGTTAGATCCAGATGAACATCTCCTAAATTTATTACAACCTTACAAGACTTTTGTTACTTTTTTGCTGCAAATGTGACTTTCCACTGTCAAAAAATGTCTGTTTTAAATTTATGCTTTTTTTTTTTTTTTTTACAATTTCTTAAACTTGTGAGGAAAATAAGTATTTGAACACCCTGTGACTTTCCAAGTTCTCCCACTTAGAAATCATGGAGGGGTCTGAAATGTTCATTTTAGGTGCATGTCCACTGTGAGAAACATACTGTAATCTAAAAAAAAATCTGACACAATTCACGAAGTTTATCCAACTCAATATATTATCATTTAACTCAATTCAATAAGCTCACCCAACTCAATGTAAGTGTTTTTAACTGAATTCATTAAGTGTGTTTAAAATGAGAAATTTAAGTCAGTCTTACTCAGCAAAGGTCATCAGGTTGGAATTGAACCTGTGACGGCCGCGTCGAGGGCTAAGGTCTCCTTATGGGGGTTGTCCTCTACCCTTACCACCATAGCAGGTACAGGATCTGTCCCTGGTGAAGCTTCTGTCATGACATCAGACGTAGGATATGAACACAGCATTGAACTTAATTATTTCAAATACACTTTTGGAAGTGCACACTAAGAAGTGTACTCTAAAAATACACTTTTTAGAGAATACTCTTAAAAAGTACTCTAACAGTGTATTTTTAGAGAATACTATAAAAGGTGTATATGAAACAATTAAGTTCAATGCCGAGTTCATACCCGATGTCTAATGTCATGACACAAGCTTCAGCAAACAGATCCTGTACCTGCTATGGTGGTAAGGGTAGAGGACAACCCCCATAAGGAGACCTTAGCCCTTGACGCGGCCGTCACAGGTTCAATTCCAACCTGATGACCTTTGCTGCATGTCTTCCCTCTCTGTCATTACCCACTTTCCTGTCTAACTACTCTTAAATAAAGGCCTCCTGAGCCAAAAAACCCTGGTAAAAAAGAGATAATTTATTAGTTTCCTTCTTTATTTTTAGTAAATTAAATGATTTTGAGTAACACTGATTTAAATTTGGCATTTTAAACACACCTAATGAATTCAGTTTTAAAATCTTAATTAAATGAGTTAGATTATAATATATTGAGTTGGATAAACTGATTCAGCTGGCATTGAGTAAATTGTTTTGAGTAAAGTCAAAGTAAAATGTAAAGATTTGTAACTTCTGAAGCTAACTGAACACAAAACAGTAAGTTGTCATCACTAAATCAAACTAATTAAATGAGATTAATGTAAATAAGTCCATAAAATGAACAGCAGCTCAAATAGACTTTTAGAGTGTATGTTGCCAGTTTGTGTTATTTCCTTGTATCTACAATGGCTTCAGAATGCTATTGCAGTGTGCAGCTATGTTTTGAAGGGTCTATTCTGCTAATATCACAGTCAAATTTAAATGTATGTCATTTTTTTGGTGTAAAGTGCCTTGAAAAATCTTTTCTTGTCAACTGATGGTTTAAAATATGAAATGAACTACAGGTAGTTGCTACCTAATAACTTCAAAGAAAAGAGCAGACATTTCCATTTGATTTCCAATGTCTGAGGGTAAAACGTAGAGATGTTCAGCAGATATTTTTATGCCATTTAAAACAGCCTAGTTTTGCTACTACATGTAATAGAAATACACTAAAGGGAATCCAACATTACTTTCTTAAACCTTAGTTTATACCTGTGATTCTACAACTAGAAATTGTTTTTTTCTGAGCGTTTATGCTCCATCTCCTTCAGCTGCAGGTGTCTTTAACCCACCTTGCTTTTCTCCTCCTGCTTGGCAGCTTGTCTGCATGGGGGATGCCAGATAGATGATCCTGAAGACAAAAGTAGATAAACCCAGCAACTGTTACACATTTCATTTAGTCTAAAATGTTTTCAGAGTTTGATTCTGATTCAAACAACAGCTCACTCATTTATGGACAATATTTCTTTGTTGAATTTATGTGTTGCAAATGACACCCTCCCTAATACTGTTCTTTTGTTCAAACGTGCTACATGATAAAGTGGGTATTTATTACTTTATCATGTACTTTATCATGTATTACTTTATTATTATTTCTTCAGGTTGTGTTATCTTCCATTTTACCTCCCAGTCTGAAGAAATACAAAAAGCAGTTTTCAAATGACAATTTAATTCACTAAAGGATAAAAACCACATAAACCAATGTGACCCTATGCAAAACTATTAATACTCCCTTGCTAACCAGATATTAAGTGCAGAATCATTAACCTCATCCGCACTGATTACTGTCTGACTTGAAGAGTCAAAAAGTCACTAAAGTGGAACTTGTCTGAACCTGGTGACATGGATTTAATGATCTCAAAAAGCAACATATCATGCCATGATATAAAGAAGTCCAAGAACAAATGAGAAACTACATAAATTCCTAACACCCATCAGTCTGGAAAGGGTTATGAAACCATCAAGGCTTTGGGACTCCAGAGAACCACAATGAGAATCGTTATTCACATATAAGAGTGAAGAACTTCCCATAAGTGGCTGCCCAAACAGAATTAGTCCAAAGGGCATCAACAATTCAATATTTCTACCTCCTGTAGACATAGAAAATTTTGAATCCAGAAGGGGGGAATACGTGGAAAATCAGCAGTGACTTAGTTGTTTAGATAAATATAACCAGCTGGGTCAGACTAGACAGAACTTCAGCAGCTATGCCAGCAGGCACTTCAGAGAAGATGACTCCCCATGTCTATATTGTTGTGAGGTTTTAAGGTTCTTCTTCTTTTTTTTTTTTGTTATGTTGGTGGTGTGGACCCCCGGAAGAATAATCTCTACAATGGCAGATTCCTTGGAATCGCTGACAACTGTGTTTTACTGTTTGTGGATAGAAGAAGGAAATAAAATGATAAAAACGGATCCAAAAATATGAGTCCAGCATGTGACAGCCGCCCCTCACCTTGTAGATACATTTCTTCTCCTTCTCCAAACATCTGCTCACAGCGAGCGCATCGGGCACATGTGGGGTGGTAATGCTTCTCTCCAGCCTGTTGACCAAAGAAATGATGTTAGACTGGTGCTGAAGGATATTCAGAGGAATCACAAATGGAATGCTACTGTACTCATTAACTTGTACAGCACTCTTATTTTCTAAATTCCAATTTATAGATATCAAGGTATTATCTTTGACTGCCAAGGTGAGGTGCACCGTGCTATTTGAAATAGATTTCTTTCAGTTACCAAAGCAAACTCATGGAAACAAGACTAGAGAGATGTGTTTTATCAGTCACAAGGTGGAGCTATTGTAAAACAAAGACAGCAGTGTACCAGTGTAATAGCAGAAGCAAGAATGTAAAAACTTCCTTTGGCTACATGAATGCAACTAAATGTTCAAACTTTCCAGCAAGGTCCTTCGTAGATCATCTCAACGGCCTTTCTGTGACCCTCCATTTCTCATGACTCGTATGTTTAACGCAGGGTTGTCATGTGCTGGCTTCACATCTAGAAACTAATGGGAATAATATTGTGTCAGGGGTCTGAGGAGAATTGCTATGGATATGACAGATTTGTCAGTTATATTCAGACTTGGAGATATATTTTTTAACCTCTCAGTGCTCCACTGGGTTCTATGTTATGTTATGTTATGTTGTGTGTCCATCCGTGCGTACATATGTACTCTGACTGTTAGGTGTTCTGGAGGTAAAAGTATAAACTGCTGTGTCCAGGATGTGTGGGGTCTGAAGAGATGTTAGTGGCCCTTTTCCTGACTAATGCAAATCATGACAGTAGAGAAGATCAGCCTTGATGATCATGATATAATGAGACCTGATATTTTGTTGCTGCTTGGATCTGTCCTGTTTTGTGGATGAGCCAAACCACTACAGTGATGGATGAACATTGTACAGACTGAATTATGGCTTTATAAATTGCTGCAAGTGTTATATCCCTTAAAGTGTGGGGATATGCTTGTTGAATTTCTGTATGCAAGCTCCTTTTAGTAACAATTCCAATAGTTCTTGTGAAAATGAAGCCTGGAACATCCTTCAACAAGTAGAGAGTCTTTGAGGCTTTTCATTTCACAAGGTTTGGTCATTTAAATGCAAAACAAGTAAAGGCAAAGAAGAACACATCTTTCTTAAAAAACAACAAAAAACTTCACTGTTGTAGGTTATAGATTATAGTGTTTGGTTTAGTTTTGTGATAAAGTAAACCAACCGCTCATTTATGGAAAACTTTGTCATTTCCATCATCAGGTTGATGCAGTCAGAGCACAGGTCTTTGAACTCACTGGATATTGTGCTCAGATCCCCATTCAATGCTTCAAATAGAAATATAGCTTTTGAGTAGAATTTCTAACATCTCATGATCTGCTTCTGATTCTGCTGACCCACAGTGTCCTCTCATTAGACAGACGATCATCCAATACCTCTGCTCTGTTTGCACAGAGACAGACTCATGCTGCAGTAAATTTGTCTATTCACAGATTTTCTTTGTCAAGCAGAGGTCACGTTAATGGAATATTTTCAGTATTTGACCATTTTCTTTTTTAAATGACAGGAAAATTTAAAGCCCATCTGTCATTTGACAGGTTATAATTAACACCCTTGATTGGTTCACATGATGGGCAGATATTATAGACTGTTGAAGAGTTATGGGCAGGACGCTTTGGAGCACGTCTGGTTCAGAAGCACATTGCAAACCTTTGGTTGAAATGGCGCGTTTAATTCCAGTCTCCATTAAAAGACCATAGAAAACTAAAGAGAATGCAAAGTTGTGTTAATCTATTCATAGTCTGAACAGAGGAGCCGGCAGTTTACTGTGAGGAAATAAATAAAGTGCAGAAGTTAATTAGACCATAACATGTGCAGTGCGCTGCACACTTAATGTGGACACGGCTCCACCGCTGCGAAGAATTAAACTTAACTCATCCTGCAGTTTTAACAAAAGGAGCTGGAAGATGTTACTCTTCTGTGTCCAGAAGAACGGCGCTAAGGAGGAGCGCAGCAGACGTAACACCTGTCCGTTTCGGGGAAGCGAAACCATGCAAAAAAAAATTAATTAATTAAAAAAATAAAAATAAAAAATCCTCGTAAAATCGCACATCTGGACCGCATAGGGTAAAAAACTTGCAGAGTTCAATGGATTGGTTTGGATCAAACAGATCCAACTGTCGATGAACCAGCACAGATTTCTCTGCAGATGCAACCAGGAAGAATTTGTGAGGCTGTGCGTTCAGACCCCAGTAGGTGAAGTTCTGGTAATTTAAGTGGAGTCGCTTAATTTCATTTATTATAAGTTATTGGGACCACAGTCAGTGGTTTGAGTCACTAGGAGAGAAAGTTAGATACATTAATCTGCTTTATGTGGGATGGGATCTGGATTCAACCAGGTGAAAATTAACTAAATCGCATATAAATACGGCTAAATAGCCGATGTTAATATGATTGTAATTTGATGGGTAAAAATAGTACATGACTGATTTTTTTTTTTAATGCCGTCGGTCAAATGACACATAACATAAAAGTATAGCGCGACCTCTGTCGTCAAGCATACCTAGAATAATTATTCCAAAGAAAATGCAAATTGGGAAGTTGAAATACTTGGGCACAATGTTACTTGACACTGGCTGACATTTAAAAAGCAAGCAATCAAAGAGCGGCATTTGATTTCCTTGACACTGATTGTTCTTCTAATAGCAGAGATTATAAGGAGCGTGGATGTTAGCTTCTGCTATAGTGCTAAGATGGTTTCCAATGTGTGTATTATTGGATATTAAGGTAGGTTTGATGTCTGAACTACTGCTGTATTACTGGAGACCGTTTTTGGCCTTGAGAGCACTTTTTGATGGTCTCAATCCCATGTGTACTCCGTCTTGTCTCAGTCTCTGACATTTTCAAGACCAATCAAGGCCAAAATAAGGGAAATATCACTTATTTGCAAGAATAAAGTCCAATTTATTTATTTGCATGCTTGCTTTCATTGGATGTAAAATGTACCAATTCAACTCCAAGCAAGCAAGCTATGTATAAGTGGTGCTAGTAAAGTAAGTTATCTAAAGTTGGAAAGCTGCCTCTGTACCAACATTTTAGGGGAGCTGGTTTTTGTCTTGGGCTAGGTCACATCGACTACAAAGCTAGTTTTAATTATTAAAATATGATAGTAAAATATTTCTAGAAGGAGTACCAAATATTTACAGATTTAAGCTATTTGTCCCTAACTCCCACAAATAATGGTGGTACACTACATTTTCTTTTGTCATGCTTTCTGTTGCAAAAAGAAACACTTCATAATAAATCAGTGCATCATGAAACCAAGTAAATTTATGTCATTCCTTTCAAATTTTCTTGCTCTCTGATCTCACCCATAATTTCAACAACTCCATAGAGACAAGCCTTGCAGTGAACTCATTAAATCCATTAGGAGTTGCTCTGCTTTGCTGCGTCATCTGAGCTGGAAAAAACAGCAGAAATCAGGAACACCAACGCCCTGTTTCTTGGATAACATACTGTTTAGTGCTTGTCTGAAACAAATGGATACCAGATGGAGAGTGAAGGCATTCGGGGACAGATATGCACTGAAATTAAATGAGCAAAGAGACTTTAGGTCAAGGTGGAACTGGGTCAAAAGGAGACAGGTCTGGCACTTGAAAATCCTCAGAAGGTACAGGAGGCCATACGAAGAGTTCATATTTGAACTAGATTAAGTCTGAATGATGGATAGGGCATAAGAAGAGAGGATGTTGACTTTGGAACACGGAGGTACCAAATGGATGGAAAAGGATTGAATTTTAAACATGGAACGTATGAGTGGACAGGAAAGTAGATACTACCATTATCAAATCCTTTCTTTGTTGAAAGCCAAGCCTGCATGAAGGAGAAATTATTTCCTTCAAAGTCCTGCAGGGCTGATCTTTCAAGTGAAAGTAGAAATGTGAAACTTAAAGCAAATGTGGCATGATGTTTGGCAGTGTGGCCTGAGATAAGAGGCAGGCCTATAAAGACCCAATGAGTCCATCTCTTTCTCATCACTACTTCCTAGCACAGTGCTCACTACACCTCTATGTATCTGCAGAGGGAAGAGACTATTTAGGTGAGGGAACAGACTCACTTTAATAAAACAGAGTGGAGCTACAGAGTGGGACATCCTCTCCAACATTCAATCCACATGAACAAAACATGTTCATGTAAAGTGAGGTGTATCCAAGGGTGTAACTTTGTGTTGCAAATTGGTGGGGACACAGTGTGAGGAAGAATGGGTGGGGGTGGGGCAGTTAAGAATAAGGCCAAAACTTAAATGTGAGTACAGCCTTATTCAATAACTCAGGATTTACATCCTGATGAAGCTTATCAGATAAATAATGCTTTTTGAAAATAGAAACATTTTAGCAGGCATAAAGCATACTAAGAAATGTAAAGATGTTCAAACATAAGTCATCCAATTAATCTATATAACATCTGTCACTTAGTGATAGAATTACTAAAAAATTAACTTTTCAGTCATATTCTGATTTATGAAATTAGTGTGTGTATTTGCTCAATGCTTGCCTACATTTGAAAACAGTTGCAAAATTCAGCTCATGTCATCCCCCCAACACGGTGCTGCCTTGGACAATTGTCCATATCAGAAAACGCCACTGCAAGTCACATCCGTGTCTCAGCTCGTCAAGATTTTCAGTGGGACTTTGTTTGGGGCTAGATGGGGCAGTTGAGATGTAGAGTGACCATCAATATGGACATCGCCTATTAGCCGCCTTGGCTAATGACATGAACCTGAGGACAGTGGACGCCATTACATGTAGTCATGTCCACAAAAGCATATACAGTTCTAATGTAGGATGAGCAGTAATCTGTCACAAACAATAGTCATAGACTTCATATGGACGATCTAATTTCTTTAATGTGTGGTTTAAGTTAAATATGTGAAAAGTGCCGATGTTTGGATATGTATTCTCTCTGGATAAAGATATATAAACAACTTTGTTTCTGTCAGTTCTGTCAAGATGCAGTAGAGGATTAAATAAATTTCTCTTTTAAAGCCAATAATTTAATTTTACCTAATTGTTGCTGTAGGAGAAATAGTTAACAAACGTTGACTCCTATGGTTTATATAATATTTCATCCTATTTTATGATTGCTGTGAATATGGCCACGTTCTACAAACAAATGATGCAATTAGTCCAGGGACGTAGAAACCCAAGGAGAACAATTTGAAACTAATTGTATTCTTTTTCTTTTCCATTCTGTCTCAG